GAGAGTGAGGGGTGGGGGTGGGATCCTCGTGGAGAATCCCGGCTGGTAGGTTTCTCTGTTCCTGGCAATCCGCTGTTCTGCGAACCGGTACCTGGCGATGTGCAAGCGGCCCCCTGTGTCTCTGGGGGCTCCGGCAGGCCCCCCCCCCGCCGGCTGGCCGGCGGCTTGGCGCACTGCCGCACGGCCAGTAAAGGTTGGGGGAGGGGTCTTCGCTCTTCTCTGTTCTGAAATTCTTCTTTTCCTCTCTTTCTTTTTTTGTTATTTTCCACCTCTGGTTTTTCTCTGAGTGTTCGTCTTTTTGTTGTTGTCAGTCTCTTGGGGAGATTAAGCGTTGGAACTCGAACTCTCTTTGTTTGGAGAGAGCTGTGGCGTTTCCCTACTGCCCCGTCGCCATCTTGGTCCCCCCTCCATATACGCTGATTTTTAATTGTACAGAATGACCTTTTGAGTTATGATGATGTGCCTTATTTGAAATATCTAACTCCCTCTACATATATGAACTGTATTCTTGAATATCAACTAATAATTTTTAATGTCAAATTATTTAAGCCTCTTACTATACCTTGTATGTTTTTTTATATTGCCTTATATTAGGTTCATGAAAGAAGTGTCCAGTCAGACTTCCTGCTGATTATCTTGAAGGAAATTTTACAGAAACGTTCTGACCTACACTTGATTCTAATGAGTGCCACTGTGGACAGTGAAAAGTTTTCTACATATTTTACACACTGTCCTATTCTCAGAATTTCAGGAAGAAGTTATCCTGTTGAGGTAAGTTTTCTTCAGTATGTGTATAAGCAGAAACTGCATTCACACCAGAGAATTTCCTCCAGAGCAAAGGCCCTTAACAGTCCAACTTGGAAACTGTTCTTAGAGTACAACAATCAAAAAAGTACCTTAGAGGCCGGGCACCCGTGGCTCATGCCTATAATCCTAGCTACTCAGGAGGCTGAGATCTGAAGATTGCAGTTCAAAGCCAGTCCCAGCAGGAATGTCCATGAGACTCTTATCTCCAATAAAACAGTCAGAAAACCGGAAGTGGTGCTGTGGCTCAAGTGGTAGAATGCTAGTCTTGAGCTAGCACTCAGGCTGAGTTCAAGCCCCATGACCAACCAAAAAACAAGAAGTACCTAGATGTGGTGAATAATGCTGTGATAAACATAGTCATGCTGGTAGCTTTTAGCCTTGTTTGTGATCATTTGGGTGAATGCCCAGCATCTGTTATTACTAGATTTCTTGATTATAGCCATTCTAACTGGGGTAAGGTGGAACTCAATGTTGTTTAGACTCGCATTTCTTTTATGGCCAGAGAAGTTGAGCATTTCTTCATGTGTATTCGCCATTCTTATTTCCTCTTCAGAGAAATCTAAGTCTTTAGCCCACTTATTAATGGGAAGGTTGTTTCTTTGAGGATTTGTTTTGGGGAGAGTTAATTTTTTGAGTTCTAAGTATATTTTAGATATGAGGCCCTTGTCTATTGTATAGCTAGTGAAGATCTTCTAATCCATAAGCTTTCTATTTTTTTTTTTTTTTGGGGTCCGGTCTTCGGGCCTGAACTCTGGGCCTGGGCGCTGTCCCTCAGCTCTTCAGCTCAAGGCTAGTAAAAATAGTGCTCTACCACTTGAGCCACAGCGCCACTTCCAGCTTTTTTCTTATATGGTGCTAAGGAATCGAACCCAGGGCCTCGAGCATGCAAGGCAAGTGCTCTACCACTGAGCCACCTTCCCAGCCCAAGCTTTCTATTTATATACAATGGAATTCTATGACTCCATCAGAAAGAATGACATGGCCCCATTTGTTAGGAAATGGAAAGACTTGGGAAAAATCATATTAAGTGAAGTAAGCCAGGCCCAAAAACATAGGTCCCATGGTTTCCTTTTATTTGCAATAACTAGTATATGTCTAGGATAATCTTACCAGATGAGCAGAAAAGTTCAAAAGCTATGTGCATATGATCATATCAGATGATGCTAGGAGAAACTAACCCCAAGATATAGGCACAAGAGGTCTTTCTTTGTTGTTGTTTTTAATGTACTATGTGATTTTTTTTTGTTTCTTTTGTATGTTCTTCCCCCTATGGTATATCCCCTATTGTTACTGTATTTAATTTTGGTACCCTGAATCTTGTATATACATTTATCTAATTTGGGAGGGGAAGGGCATAACAAAATTTTGAAACAAGGACAACTGCTTGACCCATTGCAACAGTGATACTCACAAGACACTAGGTTGGAACTTTACAACTTGATGGGGGGAGTCAGGGAAGGGGGTAGGGAAGGGATAGTAGGAGAAAAAGTAGGGGGTAGCAGTGCTCAGCACTCATGTAACTGTAACCCCTCTGTACAGCATCTTTACGATGAAATTTTTTTTTAAGTACCTAGAATACCTTGAGATGCAAATGTTTGCTGATGCTGCCTGAGGGGAAATGTAGAGGTTTTCCACCCCCCCCCCATTCCATGCCCCCCCCCTTGTGTGCTCCGAACTCTGAGCCTGGACACTGTTCTTCAGCTCTTCAGCTCAAGACTAGCACTCTACCACTTAAGCCACAGCACCACTTCCGGCTTTTTCTGCTTATGTGGTGCTGAGGAATCGAAGCCAGGGACTCATTCATGCAAGGCAAGCACTCTACTACTGAGCCACCTTCCCAGCCCAGTTTTTTTGTTGTTTTTTTTTTTTTTCATCTATTCTCTGTTTATGTGGTACTGAGAATTTGAACCCAAGGCCTCATATATGCACTCTACCATTAAGCCACCTTCCCTGCCCTGGTAAATAGAGTTTTAAGGAGTATTTTTAGGACAGAAGTGAGAGCTATAAACTTACTTCCATATCAAAATCATTGTATTCAGATGGAAGATGATTTTCTTTTCTTTTTTTTTGGGGGGGGTCCAGTCGTGGGGCCTGAACTCTGGGCCTGGGCACTATCCCTCAGCTCTTCAGCTCAAGGCTAGTGCTCTACCACTTGAGCCACAGCACCACTTCCGGCTTTTTTCTTTTTGCTTATGTGGTGCTGAGGAATCGAACCCAGGGCCTCAGGCATGCAAGGCAAGCGCTCTACCACTGAGCCAACTTCCCAGCCCTGGAAGATGATTTTCTAGTAATAAGGAACTCTTTTTTTTTTTTTCCTTCCTTCCTCAAACTTAGAGTTGGCTTTGAAGTTTCTTATTTTAAGCAGTTGTACAAAGGAGTTGCCATTCAACAAAGCAGTTTATGAATTGCATCTTGACCAGTGTCATGCCTTTCATCATTCTACACTATCCCCATCATTCTCCACTAGCCCACCCAATGAAGCTGCTTTTCTGACTATTCTTAATGCTTACCTTTTGTTCAGCCAATGAAATGTACTCTTCTAACCATTTTCACTTAAAAAGTGAATATGATAATATAATTCACCCTGCCATTATCAACAGACTCTTCTATATTAAACAGAGTTTATTTTCATAATAGTTTGGTAGTCTTCAGTGATAATCACCTTGTTCTCTTTAAAATGATATTTACATGAATTTACATGAATTTGGGTTACTCCACAGGTTTTTCATCTTGAAGATATAATCGAAGAAACAGGCTTTGTACTAGAGAAAGACTCAGAATATTGTCAGAAATTTCTAGAGGAAGAAGAAGAGATTACGATTAATGTTACAAGTAAAGCTGGGGGAACCAAAAAACATCAGGTAAAAAATATATATTTTTTTAGAACACGGCATAACCTGCCATGAGAATTTTTAATGTAGCTAACAGCAAATATGAGTATAATTTAGCAAAAGAGGACAGGGGCGAGGGGGGGAGGACATGAGAAAATTTTAAGGACTATTTAATCTTGTTAATTTGTGATATTTTGCCCTGTTCTGGCCACTAGATAGCTATAAAATCAAGGCCCATAGTTTTATAGCACTGATCAATAATTGGAGAGGAAATTTCCAGTGGTTTTTTCCTAGCTCCTCATCCTAAGTGCTTGAGATGGTACAATCTCCATCCCCACGTCTTTGTCAGTTTCTCAGCAGTGTCTATCCTGGCAGATAGAGCTATCCTTAGCTCTTATGAAGCCAGTTAAAGCAAGCACAGTTCTTCCCTAAGAAATTAGTTGAGATTATGTGTTTTTAGAAGTACTACATTGTCCTGTAATTTACTCAGTGACTGGATTCCGTGTTTTCACTACATCTTTTATGCTTTTCTTGTACTTCATACATGTGTCTGAACTGATGAAAACACAGTTAAAAGTTATTTTTCCTTTTAATTAAGTATATAAACTAAGAAAGTAAAACTAAAATCTTTCTCTGGTACGCCAGAGATTTTTAAAAAAATTACAAACTGAAGAAAATCTTCAGAAAAATAATTTCAAAAGAATTGAACTGGGTAGCTCATGCCTGTAATGCCAGCTGCTCAGGAGGCTGAGATCTGGATTTGGTTCAAAGACAGCCCAGGCAGAAAAGTTCCAGAGATTCTATCTTCAGTTAACCAGGAAAAAAAAAGTGAGAGCATGAGGCCGTGAGTTCAAGCCCTGTATCAAAAAAGAGGGAGATAAGGGCTGAGAAGGTGGCTCAGTGGTAGAGTACTTGCCTTGCATGCCTGAAGCCCTGGGTTCGATTCCTCAGCACCACATAAGCAAAAAGAAAAAAGCCGGAAGTGGTGCTGTGGCTCAAGTGGTAGAGCGCTAGCCTTGATCTGAAAAGCTGAGGGACAGGGCCCAGGCCCAGAGTTCAGGCCCCACGACTGGACCCAAAAGAAAAAAAAAAAAGAGGGAGATAGAGAGAAAGTAGCCAGAGTAGATATAGATAGAATAATGCAAGCATAAAATAAATTTTATTGACATTATGACCTCTCTTGAGGTCTGGCTCTTTTTTAACTGCCCCAGAATAATGCATAAATGATTATAGTAAATTTTAATTACCATATTCAAATTTGTTATTTTTTTCAATAATTCTTTCAGTTAAACATGGCAACATTAAATTTTTGCTGTTGCTAGAGCTGTAGGAAATTACACTGTAAGAATAAGAGCTGGGCACCAGTGGCTTAAGCCTGTAATCCTAGCTACTCAGGAGTCTAAGATTTGAGGAGCAAGGTTCAAAGCCAGCCCAGGCAGGAAAGTCCAAGAAACTCTTTATCTCCAATTAATCACAGAAAAGACTGAAAGTGGTGCTGTGGCTGAAGTGGTCTAGCACTAGACTTGAGCAAAAAGGAGTCTAGTAACAGCTCCCAGGTCCAGAGTTCAAGATCCAGGACTGGCAAAAAAAAAAAAAAAGATCTTCAAATAAATAAATAGACAAACAAGTTATACTCCTGCTATATTTCACTGAAATAATGATGATGATGATGATGATGATGATAAAAAATGTGGATTTGAATAGATACAATACCATCTTTATACCTTGTCTAATAAAAGTACTTAATGTTTTTGTTCAGCTCTCTCTGGTTTTCTTTTAGGAATACATCCCAATTCAGACTGGAGCAAGTGCCGACTTAAATCCATTTTACCAAAAGTATAGCAGCCGCACTCAGCATGCCATTATGTACATGACCCCTCATAAAATCAACCTGGATCTTATTTTGGAACTTCTTATATATTTAGGTATATTTTCTGTTTCTAATGTGTCTCTTATAGTTTTGGTAAAACATTCCTTTTGGCTAGAATGGTTTTACTAACACTTCATTTGTTGTCCCTTCTTATTTTGAATATTATGTCTTTAAAATTTTCAGACAAAAGTCCTCAGTTCAGAAATATTGAAGGAGCAGTACTGATCTTCTTACCAGGCCTTGCTCATATTCAACAGTTGTATGATCTCTTATCCAATGACCGAAGATTTTATTCTGAACGGTAACCACAAATCTTCAGTGTACTTAAAATTAAAACACTTGATCAGTTATTAGTCTATTCACCTGTATTTAAAATTGCCCATGGTGAAACAAGCATTTGTTTAACATTTCTGTTACTACATTTTAACTAGTAAATTTTAGACACTATATCTATATTTGCTGTTTACTGTGATTAAGCAAAGATAATTCCCTAATTATGGTTAGGCTTAGAATTATGGCTTATGCCTACAATACTAACTAGCCGAGATCTGAGGATCACCAAGGGCAGCCTGGGCAGGAAAGTGAGACTCCAGTTATCTCCAGTTAACCAGCAAAAAACCAGAAGTGGAGCTGTGGCTCAAGTGATAGAGCACCAGACCTGAATGAAAAAACTAAGGGATGGTGCTCAGGTCCTAAGTTTAAGTCCTAGGACTGTTATCCAAGCAAAACAAAAGGTAGTATTTCCTCTCCTAACTTAGAAACTGTTAAAAAAACAAAACAAAACTGATGAGGTTGTAGTTGAATTATCTGTTTAATTGTACTATTAAGTCATCGCATTCACATCAGAACTTGAAGTTCTTCTTTTTTTGTTGTTGTTGGTGGTGGTGGTGGTCGTGGGCTTGAACTCTGGGCTTGGGTGCTGTCCCTCAGCTCTTCAGCTCAAGGCTCTAATTGAGCCACAGCATGACTTCCAGTTTTCTAGTGGGTTATTGGAGATAAGAGTCTCATGGACTTTCCTGTCTGGGCTGGCTTTGAACTGCGATCCTCAGATCTCAGCCTCCTGAGTAGCTAGGATTACAGGCATGAGCCACCAGTGCCCGGCCTTTTTTTTTTTTTTTTTTTAACTGATGGAATTTTATTTATTGCAACAAGTAAGCAATAAAAGAATTTAGAGACAGGGTTATTAGGGACAGGTTATAAGATTATTTCTCATTTTGTATATTCTGTGTGATATAACTTATTTTTATTGAAAATTTCAATGGCTCTGTACCCATATACTTCAGCCCTCCCCCATAGCAAAGACTTAGTAGTTGAAATCTTCACTATAGTCATAACATTATTTAAAATTCTGCCGGGCACTGGTGGCTCACGCCTGTAATCCTAGCTACTTAGGAGGCTGAGATCTGAAGATTGTGGAGCAAAGCGAGCTTGGGCAAAAAAGTCTTCATGAGACTCATCTCATCTCCAATTAACCACTCAAAAAACAGAAATGGCACTGCAGATCAAAGTGGTAGAGTGCTAGCCTTAAAAGAACTCAGGTCCTAAGTTCAAGCACCACAACCAACAAAAAATAATAATAATAAAATGCTAAAATGCTAAAAAATAAAATGTTAAAAACACTGTATTTCATATTCAGGTAAACAACCCATAATCCAAAAATCCAAATTTATAATGCTCTAAAATCTGAAACACTTAAGGCCACAAACATTTCAAAGATACTCAATCTGTTATTTATTCATATTAAAATTAGTTTCTCTGTCATGGGTGTATGTAAGTGTTTATGAGACTGTTCTATTAACTTCAGTGTGTTTAAATTTTTTCATAAATTTAAAGTTGTTCCTTATATGCAAATAAATTTTGTTATTCTTTGCAGTGTCTTCTAAAGAGAAACTCTTGCTAAGAACTATGATTTTAACTTTCAGATATAAAGTGATAGCTCTGCATTCTATTCTTTCAACTCAAGATCAGGCTGCAGCCTTCACACTTCCTCCTCCAGGAATCAGGAAGGTAAAATACATAGCAAATTTATATGCAACCTGAGAATATTTTATTAAAGCCAAGTATGGTGGCTCAAGCCTGTTATTCTAGCTACTTGGGAAGGAAAGATCAGAGGATCATGGTTTGAGACAAGCCCAGGCACAAAAGTTCATATGACTCTATCTCAACCAACTGCTGGTCATAGAGGCATGTGCTTCTTATTCAACTATAGGGGAAACGTAGTGGCTGAACAAAGTGCCACACACCTGTCATCCCCAGCGATATAGGGAAGCACAAGCAGGAGGAATGTAGCCCACACGAGCCTGAGCATAAATTGAAACCTTACTCTGAAATAACCAGTACAAAAAAGGGCTGAAGATGAAGATTTAATGGTTCATCACTTGGTTATCAGTGTGGTCTTGAGTTTTAATCCCCAGAACCAACAACAAAAGAGGAAAATAATTATTAATTATAAATTAAAATTTAAAATATCTTACACTGTACTACAAGTGCTCTGTATCTTAACATAGTCAGAACTAAAGCTGGTATTAAAACTAAAACATTGCTGGCTACAATGGTGGCTCATGCCTGTAATCCTAGCTGCTCAGGAGGTTGAGATCTAAGGATTGTGTTTCAAAGCCAGACCAGACAGGAAAGTCCATGAGACTTTTTTGTCATTGTTGGTCGTGGGGCTTAGGCACTGTCCCTATGCTCTTCAGCTCAAGGCAAGTGCTTTACTGCTTGAGCCATAATGCCACTTCCCACTTTTCTGGTGATTAATTGGAGATAAGAATCTCACATACTTTCCTGCCCCAGCTAGCTTTGAACTGTGATCCTCAGATCTCAGACTCCTGAGAGACAGATCTAGGAGAGTAACCCAGTTCTTCTCAGTAATGTGCTGTTTTTTTTTTTCCTAACAATTATGAGGAGTTGTAGTAATCTATCTCTGTTCTCTGAATCAGTTTCCAGTTTGAGTTCAATACTTTTTAAGATGACTGACTAGAATTAGAATAATATTTTGTTGTAATAAAAATCTGTAACTTTACACTCACAAGCTGAGCCAATGAAACTAAAACCAAAGTATACAAAGACAGTTGTACATTTTGTGAATAAAATTTAAATTCACTTTTAAAAATTCATCTGCTCTAAAGTTTAAATGATACATTGCTAAAAGTTGTCTAGATATTTTAGTTTTTTGTTTATTTGCAGATTGTTTTGGCAACAAATATTGCAGAGACAGGGATCACTATCCCAGATGTTGTATTTGTAATTGATACTGGAAGAACAAAAGAAAATAAGTAAGTTTTTAAGTTTCCCAGATGAAAACATTGTCACTTGGAAGTAGTGTGTAGTTCTGGAGTTCTCAGGAAAAATTACAGAATTATATAGGGAAAATTCAAATGTTTTAGTTCTGCCCAAAGTAAAAAGATTTAATAAAATGAGTGGAAATTTTTTCATGTCTAAGAATAAATGTTAGAATTTTATATCATGGTTTTACCATAAGTAATGCCAGTGAGTACTACTTTAATGGAAGTGCTATCTAAGAAAAAAATTGCAATTTTTTTTTTTTTTTGCTGGTTGTAGGCCTTGAACTCTGGGCCTGACCGCTGTCCCTCAGCTTCAGCTCAAGGCTAGCACTCTACCACTTGAGCTACAACACCACTTCCGGTTTTCTGGTGGTTTATTGGAGATAAGAGTTTCATGGACTTTCCTGCCCAGGTTGGCTTTGAACCGAGATCCTTGGATCTCAGCCTCCTGACTAGCTAGGATTACAGGCAGGAGCAACTGGAGCCCGGCCAAAACTGCAATTCTTTTTATATTCTTTTGTTTGTAAAATAACAAAACCATTGTGTATGTGTATGGGATTATAATAACAACAGCATATCTTTTGGAACCAGAGGTACATTTAAATCTTTTATGTTGAGCAACGTCTGGCCTTCTTAATCATTAGTCTCCACAAATATAAATGACAATTTTTAAATTTCCTAATTGAAAGTGTCTGGTCCAGTAACTAGAACATCACAGGTAACCTAAGTCTTCAACAAAAAGATTACACTATATAAATATTTTTATTTTACATAAGTAGGAGAGATCACTTTTACTGCTTTGTCATTATCCCTGATATTATTAAACTATAGCAAAATTTGAAAAATATTATCCAGTAGAAAATTAATTTTGATTGTTTATACCTTTACAGGAAACATTTAACTCTTCTGAAAGATGAGTAGAATTGTAATTTTGATAAGTAGCACTTCTCAAACTATTTCAAATAACAAAATTTAAAGGTATTTCACTAAAATCAGAAAGATTCCTTGGTTTGGTCAGATTAGCTTTGGCAGTTTTTTCCTAATTAACTTGGCAGTGTGAGATTTAGTAAGTAATTTTTCCTAAGTTATTTAAAAAGGAAATGTGGCTTGAGAAAAGTTTGTCCACAATAGTAAGGGACTTTTAGCCCATGTTAAACTTAATTTTCATAGTTACATGTTCTGGCTTTTTCTGATTTTGATCTAAGTTGATTGTCTACTATGTTCTCTTTGAAACATTTCTTTAGGTACCATGAAAGCAGTCAGATGAGTTCTTTGGTCGAGACTTTTGTCAGTAAAGCTAGTGCTCTACAGCGCCAGGGGAGAGCTGGGCGGGTCAGAGATGGCTTCTGCTTCCGAATGTACACAAGAGAAAGGTATAGCACAACACTGGAAGTTCAAAATGTACAGATCAGTACTCAGGGGCATTCCTGATAGAGTGTATGATCTTACTTTCCAGATTTGAAGGATTCATGGACTATTCTGTGCCTGAAATTTTGAGGGTACCTCTGGAGGAATTATGTCTTCATATTATGGTAATCCCCAAAGTAACTTACAAAATTCTGTTTATTACCTCTTTTTTAAAAAAAAAAGTGAACATTTTTTTTAAAAAATTTTATCTTATATTGCTTTAAATACTCAAATATCTTACTCTTTTCAAAAAATAAGCTCTTGAGCTGGGCGCTGGTGGCTCAAGCCTGCAATCCTACCTACTCAGGAGGCTGATATCTGGAGATAGCAGTTCAAAGCCTACCCAGGCAGTAAAGTCCCCATGAGACTCATCTCCAATAAACTACTCAAGAGCCAGAAGTAGCAGTGTGGTCCAGTGGTAAAGTGCTAGCCATGAGCACAAAGAGGTTCAAAGACAGTGCCTGAGTGCCAGTCTCTTAGTTCAAGTCCCGTATATAATATATGCTCTTCAGCCAAGCACCATTGGCTCTTGCCTGTAATACCAGCTACTCAGGAGACTGACATCTGACATGCACACACATAATTAGTAATAAATAATTAGTATAGGCTTTCATCCTCATGCTACCACTGCTTTCAAATACAACCCTTCCTCCTACCTCACTATTAAGAAAAATAATAGGATAGTCTGACACATTTGCCCTCTTTGGTCAAGATTTTACTAAACTCAAATTTTAGTCCCAGTAGTATTTCTTTAATGTAATAATTCTTTCTGATCATGAACCAGTTTTATCACTTTTTTCATTCTGCAGAAATGTAATCTTGGTTCTCCTGAAGATTTCCTCTCTAAAGCCTTAGATCCTCCTCAGCTTCAAGTCATCAGCAATGCAATGAATTTGCTCCGAAAAATTGGAGCTTGTGAACTGAATGAGCCTAAACTGACTCCATTGGGCCAACACCTTGCAGCTTTACCTGTGAATGTCAAAATTGGCAAGATGCTCATTTTTGGTGCCATATTTGGCTGTCTTGATCCAGTGGTAAGTGAGAGTCCTGCTACTACTTCCATTTAAGTATCATTTGGTTGGTAAATTAGTAAACTTGAAGATAATTTTTTACTTTTATTTTTTTTATTTTATTTGGGCCCATGAAATCCTTGGCAAGAGGTTTCTTTATATAATATTTATTTATTATATATACACTTTGAACATCTATTCACTTATTTACATAAGTTTGAGTTTGAGTTTGGCTTGCCTTGACTTTTGCTATCAAATAACCCTACTTGAATATGTAGTTAATATTTAATAGACAATTCTTAGAAATTTTTTTATTGGGGGGGGAGGGAGGGGAAGAATTGAGGGAGGAGGGGGGAAGCTGGGAAGGGATGTGAAGGGTAAACAAAGGAGGAGGCTGCAATGCTTGGTAAGAAATGTATGCATTATCCTGCCCATGTAATTGTAACCCCTCTTTACAGTATGTTCACAAATAAAATAAAATTTAAAAAAAAAAGAATTTTTTTTATTGTGAACATACTGTACAGAGGGGTTACAATTACATGGGCATGATAATGAGTACATTTCTTATCAAGCATTGCAGCCTCCTCCATTGCTTCCCCCTTCCCATCCCTTCCCATCCTCCCCTTACCCCCCAACCCAAACCTCCTCCCCGCCCCCACCACCAAAGTTGTAAAGTTTGTTTTCAACATAACGACTTGTACATCTCATTGTTGCAATGGGTCCACCTGTATCCCTATTTAAACGGTTTGTTGTTTCCCTTTCCCTCCACAAATTATACCGACATCAAATTCAGTGAAAGCAGGGGTTATGCCGTGGGGGAGGGACATACAAAGCAACAAAGAAATAATCTTATAAATGTGTTAGAAGCAATCACATGAAACTAAAAAAACATTTGAATACAGGCCCTGAGTTTTAATCCCAGGACTGGCACCAGGAGAAAAAAAAAAAAACACCTTCCTTTTTCTGGCTTCTGTCTCAGCCAGTAATTATCAGAATTGTGTTTTCTCAAATTAGCTCAGAGTTATCAAATTCTTTTTTTTTTTTTTTTTGGTCCCGGTTGTGGGGCCTGAACACTAGGCCTGAGCACTGTCCCTCAGCTCTTTAGCTCAAGGCTAGCGCTCTACCACTTGAGCCACAGCGCCACTTCGGGCTTTTTTCTTTTTGCTTATGTGGTGCTGAAGAATCGAACCCAGGGCCTCAGGCATGCAAGGCAAGAGCTCTACCACTGAGCCACCTTCCCAGCCCCAGAGTTATCAAATTCTGTACATTTATTTGAATCTTTCTTTTTTTTTTTTTGAGGGGGGGGTCCAGTTGTGGGGCCTGAACTCTGGGCCTGGGCGCTGTCCCTCAGTTCTTCAGCTCAAGGGTAGTGCTCTACCACTCTAGCCACAGCACCACTTCTGGCTTTTTTCTTTTTGTTTATGTGGTGCTGAGGAATCGAACCCAGGGCCTCATGCATTCAAGGCAAGCGCTCTACCACTGAGCCACCTTCCCAACCCAAATCTTTGATTTTCTTGTAGCATTCCAACTTTCCTATTTTATCTGGCTGTGGCCTATTCTGTGCACAAGGCTGTTAAAAACATAACCAAGAGAGTGTATTACTCTCTAGTCTCTTTTTCTTTAGTATTAGAAGTAAATGTGGGAGGGGCTGGGAAGGTGGCTCAGTGGTAGAGCGCTTGCCTTGCATGCATGAGGCCCTGGGTTCGATTCCCCAGCACCATATCAGCAAAAAGAAAAAAGCCAGAAGTGGCGCTGTGGCTCAAGTGGTAGAGCACTAGCCTTGAGCTGAAGAGCTGAGGGACAGCGTCCAGGCCCAGAGTTCAGGCCCCACGACCGGACCCAAAAACAAAAACAAAAAAAAGAAGTAAATGTGGGACTGAGGGTATAAAACAGTGATAGAGTGTTTCTCAAGCATGCATGAGATCTTTGGTTCATTCTCTAGCACTACTAAAAAGAAGAAAAAAATGCTACTCACCAAAATTAGACTAAATCAGAAACAAAAAACCAGCTATGATAGTTATCTAAAAATCTGCGTTTTTATTTTTTGTTTGTTTGTTTTTTACTGGTCGTGGGGCCTGAACTCTAGGCCTGGGCACTGTCCCTCAACTCTTCAGCTCAAGGCTAACTGTCTACCACTTGAGCCACAGCACCATTTCCGGCTTTTTCTGCTTATGTGGTGCTGAGGAATCGAACCTAGGGCCTCATGCATGCAAGGCAAGCACTCTACCACTAAGCCACCTTTCCAGCCCCAGGCTGCATTTTTAGTAAAGATGAGTTCTAGGTTTTGTTCTCTGGGATTGTGAGTAGCAGGTAAACACTTTACTAATAAGCTTTACCTATAGCCCCAGCTAACTTTTTTGTCAGCTGTGGGGTTTGAACTCAGGGCCTGGATGCTGTCCCTGAGCTTCTTTTTCAAGGCTAGTGCTCTACCACTTTGAGCCATAGTTCCACTTCAGGTTTTCTGGTAAATTGGGTATGAGTCTCATGGTGTTTTCTGCCCAGGCTGGCTTTGATCCATGATCCTCAGCTAGAATTGCAGGCACCCTGCTAATTTTTAAAGAACATTGCAGTCAATGGTAATTAAGTTGTAAGATTCAAGATAACCGAACTGTAACTTAGATTTCCTCTATAAGTGACAGATTATGAATTAAGTGGTATTCAGGTTGCTTGTTTTGTTTTTCATTTTTGCTAATTCTGGTGCTATTCCTTACCTCACAGAGGTAGTATAAAAACAAAGCATCACCGTTTATTAGTTCTGTACAATAGTTCTAAAAGTTTTTACAAGCTGGGTGCCAGTGGCTCACACCTGTAATCCTAGCTACTCAGGAGGCTAAGATCTGAGGATTGTGGTTCAAAGCCAGCCCAGGCATGAAAGTCTGTGACACTCTGATCTCCAACTAAACACCAGAAAACCAGAAGTGGCACTATGGACCAAGTGGTAGAGCGCTCACCTTGAGCTGAAGAGCTGAGGGACAGTGACCAGGCCCAGAGTTCAAGCCCCACGATCGATCAAAAAATAAAAAAGATTGATAAAAGTATTTACAATAAAAATTTTAAGTAAGCTTTTGTAGAACTTGGTAAACCTATTGAAATAAGAAACAAATACTTAAAGTGGAATGTTTTATGATGTGTTTTCTTTTACAAACCCAGTCATTGTATACCTCTCTAATGATGAATTATTTGGTTATTTGTTGTTAGGCAACACTTGCAGCAGTTATGACAGAGAAGTCACCTTTTACTACACCTATTGGTCGAAAAGATGAAGCAGATCTTGCAAAATCTGCTTTGGCAATGGCAGATTCAGATCACCTGACAATCTACAATGCATATCTAGGGTAAAAAATAATATGGGTGTTATCAATAAGCCAATGACCTCAGGTTATTTACATTTTTAAAACTTTATATTTGTCATTAAAATAATATATTTAAGATTTAAACAAGTTTTTAGTCTGTCAAGATATAATCATATAAAAGTCATTTTTATGCTCCTTCCTAAAAATTAAATATGTACTTGATTGTATTATATATTTATATTTCTCATATTTGAAACATTTCAGAGTTTACTCTTCCATAGAAAATGCATTACAGTTGAAATCTTCTGTAAACAGCTTCTGCAACATAGCAAGACCCCTTCTATTTTAAATGATTATTTTATTGAGCTTAGGGAACATAGTGAACCTTGTTCATTTGTTAACATTTTATTTACCTAGATGGAAGAAAGCACGACAAGAAGGAGGCTATCGTTCTGAAATCACATATTGCCGGAGAAATTTTCTTAACAGAACATCATTGTTAACCTTAGAGGTAATTTTTCTATTTTATTTTTTGAATTTGTATACATGAATAACATGAGAGCGATTCATTGTGTTAATTCCATGCATATACTCTGAACAAGTTTTTCCTCCTCTTTCCCTTTTAGTATTGGTAGGTTGCATTGTGTGTGTTTTTGACGTGTGTCAAATTTCAGTCCTCCTTACCCTTCGGTATACTTTCCTTTCTCTCTCCCTACTGCTGTTTATCCCACCACCACCCAAAGTCTCCTTTTGTTTTCCTGTCCCATTGTTACCATCTTAGAACTGGATTTCACAAATGAGCAAACTATTCTTAATAGGGCTGTAAAAGATAGATAAAAAGAATGCCTAGGATAGTGCTTGACACATAGTAAGGGTTTAATAAACAATCATTGAATTGAGAAGCTTATTATAAATTAAGAAGGTTATGATTTTTTGTTTCTTCCAACAACTCACTTGAACATATTACAGGTGATTTAAAACAGTATTTAACAATCATAAATATACTCAAGAAGTGATACTGAGCCCTAAAGTCAAACCCAGACCTGGCACAAAAAAAAAAAAAAAAAAGAGGGGGCTGGGAAGGTGGCTCAGTGGTAGAGCGCTTGCCTTGCATGCCTGAGGCCCTGGGTTTGATTCCTCAGCACCACATAAGCAAAAAGAAAA